TATTAGTAGATGCTCAAATTTATTTATTAATTTTTTTTTATTTACTTGCATGCTTATTTTGCATGTACAAAATGCGGCATTTGCGAAATATAACGTATATTTTCGAAACAGCTTAATTTTGGCCAGCCAAACCCATGGTTGCAGTGGGCAGCCTTTGAATTACAATTTCTTTCATTGCCTTATGAACTGCTTGAATAAGTTTATGTATAACAACATACGATTTTYGCATTGATTTTTAATGTATTGGCGGGCAAAACAACAAGGTCGTCACATACATACTGATTTCTTCATTTATTTATTGACATTAAGTTATGTTCTGTATTCCATGTACAAGGACCTTTCGAAGTAAATTTTGGAATAAATATCAGCACACAAATATACATATGCATTTATGCGCAAAAGGTTAAACAAACGTGTAAATACTTACTATGTGAAATGGTCAGAATGCAAATATTTACATTACAAAATTAATCGCTAAATTAATTCAAGTGTAAATTGTATGTTAATTTGTGTACGAAATGTAATGACGTGGCGTTGAAATGCAGAATGCAAATGCCATGCATTTTTGGCAACATTCAACAACAATTGGTCTCCACACTCATGCGCCACATTTTCAGTTTTCTTATGCAATTGCTTTTTCTTTTGCATTTTCATGCCATATTCGTAGTATCACGCCACTTTTAACAAATGTTATGGCTATGTGTGTACGCTTGTACAAGGTAAAAGCTCACAATATTTACTAACGCAATTAACAACTTTTAATTGTAAACAAACAATGCACTTGAATTATAAAGATATATTATATTTCATACACGTGTATTGCGCTGGCGATTTACAGAGTAATGTTTTAAAATAATAGTTTTTTTAAATTTGGAAATAATATTTTTGCTTTCTATAGTAATTTTAATATATTTTTAGTGCAGTGTTTTTTATTATTGAACTGGCACAGCAGCTGCAAACAGCCATTCACATATATTTGCACACATCAGCAAGTATTTTTAAAAATATATAAATATTTTTGATTGAGTTTTAAAATATTTTTTCGTGAAATTTTCCGGCACAAACTGTGTGGTAATGACGTATGAAGGCGAAAGCTACAATAATAAATAACAAAAATAAAAATAAAAAAATGTGTGACGTTAAAATAAAAATAGAACTATCTAATAATATCATATTCCAAACTTTAAAATTGAAAAATATCATTAAATTTTGAAAGCAATAGGCTTATTTCAAGAAAATAATACCCCAAACTAACAGAACTATTCAGTCAGTGAATGCTTTGTTTTACTTATCCTACATCAAAAACATATTTATACTTTTTTTATGATCTTCCGGTGTCTCTTATACACATCTAGATGTGTATAAGAGACAGCTATTCAGTCAGTGAATGCTTTGTTTTACTTATCCTACATCAAAAACATATTTATACTTTTTTTATGATCTTCCGGTGTCAAAGTCACTCACAGTACATGTGTATGTAATTTAAAACTTGCCTTGGTTTATATTTTAGCTGAAGGTTGTGATCACCTGACACATTACACAAAATCAGTGCTATCATTTATATAATATTATRCAAAAAATTATAATTGACATATGTATATGCACAAATATCTAGATACATACATATGTATGTACACATATACGTATATAAATATTAGAGCGCTGAGTTCTAAAAATGTCACGAGCATAAACATACAACAAAAATACTAACGATTTATTCATATAATGTTGTGATAACAAATTATCATCTAATTAACGGAAATTCGGATTATTAATAGCTAAAGTAGTTTTGATTGACTTCTRTATGGATTTGTACATAAGTTAAATATTTTTTCTTTTTTGCAATTTTCTGAAATTATAGACAAGTAATTAAATTTTTATTTGTAAGGGATTTAAAAATTATTGGAAAGTTTGGATGATTTTAGATTTATAAGGCATGYTTGRAACGAAGTTATAATACCCTTTACAAATAAAAAACTTTCCGTATAAGAACTTAATTTTGATTATTCCGTTTGCATGTCAAATATATCGTATAGTAATCAAATATCGGCAGTTTCGACAAATAATCAG